CAAAATTAAACTTTGTTTGATTTCATCAAAAATTGAATTATTGGGGTTCTTTGATATGCCAAATCTAACTGTGTTGTAAGATTTTTAATTTGGGTCCCGTTTTTTAAATTGGTCTTCATTGAGGTCCAAAGGGTCCAAAATTAAACTTTGTTTGATTTAAACAAAAATTGAATTCTTGGGGTTCTTTGATATGCTGAATCTAAACATGTATTTAGATTTTTGATTATGATCCCAGTTTTCAAGTTGGTCCAAATTGGGGTCCAAAATTAAACTTTGTTTGATTTCAACAAAAATTGAATATATGAGGTTCTTTGATATGCTGAATCTAACCATGTTTTTAGATTTTTTATTTGTGGGCCCCGCTATCAAATTGGTTCATATTGAGGTCAAAAGGGTCCAAAATTAAACTTTGTTTGATTTCATCAAAAATTGAATTATTGGGGTTCTTTGATATGCCAAATCTAACCGTGTTTTTAGATTTTTAATTTGGGTCCCGTTTTTTAAATTGGTCTTCATTGAGGTCCAAAGGGTCCAAAATTAAACTTTGTTTGATTTAAACAAAAATTGAATTCTTGGGGTTCTTTGATATGCTGAATCTAAACATGTATTTAGATTTTTTATTATGATCCCAGTTTTCAAGTTGGTCCAAATTGGGGTCCAAAATTAAACTTTGTTTGATTTCATCAAAAATTGAATTATTGGGGTTCTTTGATATTCCAAATCTAACCGTGTATTTAGATTCTTAATTTTTGGTTCCGTTTTCAAATTGGTCTACATTAAGGTCCAAAGGGTCCAAAATTAAACTTAGTTTGATTTTAACAAAAATTGAATTCTTAGGGTTCTTTGATATGCTGAATCTAAACATGTATTTATATTTTTGATTATGGGCCCAGTTTTCAAGTTTGTCCAAATCGGGGTCCAAAATTAAGCTTTGTTTGATTTCAACAAAAATTGAATATATGGGGTTCTTTGATATGCTGAATCTAACCATGTATTTTGATTTTGGACATTGGACCATAATAGGTAAATTAAAAAAATTCAAGTTCTTAGACCACATTCTTTCTGTGTCAGAAACCTATGCTGTGTCAAATATTTAATAACAATCCAAATTCAAAGCTGTATCAAGCTTGAATGTTGTGTCCATACTTGCCCCAACTGTTCAGGGTTCAACCTCTGCGGTCGTATCAAGCTGCGCCCCAGCGAAGCATTTTATTGGTTATTATCTTTAATATTATTATAGATAGAGATAAACTGTAAACAGCAATAATGTTCAGCAAAGTAAGATCTACAAATAAGTTGTCATGACCAAAATTGTCAGTCGACCCCTTTAGGAGTTATTGCCCTTAATAGTCAATTTTTAACAATTTTTCATAAATTTTTGTAATCTTTTACAAAAATCTTCTTCTCTGAAACTACTGAGACAAATTTAACCATACTTGGCCATAATCATTATTAGGGTATCTAGTTTAAAGAATTTGTCCGATGACCCCGCCTTCCAACCATCATGGCCAACTGGTTAAAAATAGAACATAGGGGTAAAATGCAGTTTTTGGTTTATATCTCTGAAACTAAAGCATTTAGAGCAAATCTGATAGGTGGCAAAAATGTTCATCAGATTTAGATTTATCTGCCCTGAAATTTTCAGACGAATCGGACAACCCGTTGTTGGGTTGCTGCCCCTGAGTTAGTAATTTTACAAAAATTTTGCAGTTTTTTGTTATTATCTTAGATATCATTATAATATCTAATATCTAATACTATTAATTATGATTTTAACCTTATTTTACATGATTTCCAAAGCATCAGTAAATACAGGTGAGCGACACAGGCTCTTGAGAGCCTCTAGTTTTGGTTATTATCTTGAATATTATTATAGATAGAGATAAACTGTAAACAGCAATAATGTTCAGCAAAGTAAGATCTACAAATAAGTCAACTTGACCAAAATGGTCAGTTGACCCCTTAAGGAGTAATTGCCCTTTATAGTAAATTTTTAACCATTTTTCGTAAATTTTTGTAATCTTTTACAAAAATCTTCTCCTCTGAAACTACTAAGACAAATTCAACCAAACTTGTCCACAATCATCATTAGGGTATCTAGTTTAAAAAATGTGTCCGATGACCCCGCCAGCGAAACAAGATGGCCGACATGGCTAAAAAATAGTACATAGGGTAAAATGCAGTTTTTGGCTCATATCTCTGAAACCAAAGCATTTAGAGCAAATTTGATGAGGATAAAATTGTTCATTAGGTCAAGATCTATCTGCCCTGAAATTTTCAGACCAATCAGGTAACCCGTTGTTGGGTTGCTGCCCCTGAATTGGTAATTTTAAGAAAATTTTGCAGCTTTTGGTTATTATCTTGAATATTATTATAGATAGAGATAAACTGTAAACAGCAATAATGTACATCAAAGTTAGATCTACAAATAAGGCAACATGACCAAAATTGTCAATTGACCCCTTATGGAGTTATTGCCCTTTATATTCAATTTTTATACGCCCGTTTACGGGACGTATTATGGTATACCGTTGTCCGTCTGTCCGTCCGTCCGTCTGTCCGTCCGTCTGTCCGTCGTCAACATGTCGGACATTAACTCAAGAATGCTTTAACCAATTTGCATAAAACTTTGGTGAATTGTTTATATCTATTGACGTGAGCTCCCTTTCGTTTTTTATAAAATTTAGATTTTACGTTTCCGAGTTATGGGGTTTTATTCATTAAAAAAAGGGGGATTTTCCAGTTTTCGGACAATAAGTCAAGAATGCTTTCACCAACTTGCAAGAAATTGTGGTGAATTGTTTATATCTATTAGCATGAGCTCTCTTTTGATTTTTATAAATTTTAGATTTTACGTTTCCGAGTTACAGGGTTTTATCCATAAAAAAAGGGGGGATTTTTCAGTTTTCGGACAAAAACTCAAAAATACTTTCATCAATTCTTATGAAACTTTGGTGAATTGTTTGTATGTATTGATGTAAACTCTCTTTAGAATTTTATAAATTTTACATTTAACATTTCTGAGTTATGGGGTTTTATTCATTAAAAAAAGGGTGATTTTCCAGTTTTCAGACAATAACTCAAAAATGCTGTCACCAATTCTTATGAAACTTTGGTGAATTGTTTATATCTATTGATGTAAGCTCCCTTTTTATTTTCATAAATTTCTAATATGGCATTGAGAATTAATTGAACTTTATTTGTTTATAGTCTTGACAACAGATTTACTAAGTGTTGCACAACAGCAAGAAATTTTTGATTGAATATAAATTCAATTCATATAACCAATTTAAGTTCTTTGAATACATTTATTCAGAAACCTATAATATGTCAAATATTTAATTACAATCCAAATTCAGACCTGAATCAAGCTTGAATATTGTGTCCATTTCTGCCCCAACTGTTCAGGGTCGGACCTCTGCGGGCGTATCTAGCTGCGCTCAGCGAAGCAGTTTATTTACAATTTTCATAAATTTTGTAAATTTTTGTAAATTTTTACAAAGTATTTTCCACTGTAACTACCGGGCCAAGTTCATTATAGATAGAGATAATAGTAAGGAGCAAGAATGTTCAGTAAAGTAAGATCTACAAACACATCACCATCACCAAAACACAATTTTGTCATGAATCCATCTGTGTCCTTTGTTTAATATGCACATAGACCAAGGTGAGCGACACAGGCTCTTTAGAGCCTCTAGTTTGGACTTAGGCGTGCTGTTTCTTGTGGCAGCGGGTAGCAACAATCTGTTGTAAGTTTGTGATTTGGTCAGTTTTAGGGGTACCACTAATTAATGGTAAGTCAATGATATTTGGTATGCAGTTGTATAAGCATTAGCATTAGCATATCTAATATGATAATATCTGCGGAGATTGTGTGGGCATCCTATAGTATGAAAAATGTGGCTGATAGTGAATCTTTGATTCCAATTTACTGAACAGTAGATCTTTCCTGAAGCTATATGTCCAAAATTCCAATTGTTTTGGACTTAAGGGCATACAGTAACAGGGGAGGTAATGACGTTGCTAACGTAATATGTCATTTTTCGCCAAGTCAGACTGTGAAATATCTGGAAAAGATGCATATTTCGACTGATTTTAATCATTAGCTTGAAAACGAGTACATTGACCCCTCCTTTTTAAAATGAAATTTGGTTTGATTTTGTATGACAATTCTTTGTACCAATTTTTATGAAAAAATCACCAATGAAAGTTTTTTAAATTAGACAAATATACAGCAAAAATGCTATTTTTTTCTAAAATCGTGACATTTTGATAAACATTAATTATTTCCAAAGAATTGTTACACAAATTTAGAGCATAATTGCATAAGGCAGATTTTCCAAATGTTTTTACAAAAATCCACTTGTGTTTATCTTTCTAAACACAAACGTTAAGTATGTCTGTCTAAAGGATAGAAATATCAAAGAACCCGAAATTTTGAGTAAATGTTTAAAATTTCGACACCATTTATCTCTAAAATTAGCACATGAAGGTATAAATTTTATTACATATATTTGAAATCAACAGGCGAAAAAAAGCTTGTATGCAAATTTTTGTAAAAAAAATCACCATGGGATCAAAACTGAATCGTATGCCGGATTGATGATTGGAAGACCCTCGTTTGCTCAACAAATGATTCTCATTTTATTTTGATTTTGAGGCAAACATGGTGGTTATTGGGGCAAGCATTTCTCATTTAAACTCTATGGGAAATAATGTTTTCATGTACTTCTCTGAAAGCATTATTTATGTATAGGTTTGAAATTTATGATCAAAGTTTATCAATAATTTAAATCAAAAGAACACTTATTCCCGAAAAACAATTATCAGGAACCATGACCATGCAAAATGGGTTCACTGCCAAATATACTAGTAAATTACTGGTAAGTCTGGAGGAAATCTACAATATACTTTATTTGGAGGTTTGGAAAGATGACACCTTTGTATTTTTTTAAGGATTGATAAAATGATTGAATTAAAGTTCTTTGTTAATTTTTTAGGAAGAAAAATTGTGTTAAGTCCTGCAATCAATGAAATTGATTGTAAAGATGATAGATTCCAGCCTATTCCATTTACAACTAACAGTTTTACTGACTGTTTATTTGGAAAGTCCAAATGCAATGAGGAAGGCCAAGTTCTGATAAGTGATGGGTCCACCATTATGGACAGAACCTGCAGATGTGATTATAGAAATGGATATGCTTATGTCACACAGCCAAAGGACAAATGTTTTTGTGTACCGTCACAGGAAGATTGTAGTTGTTTCTCGAAACATTGTAAAGAAAATGAAATGTTCTCAGCAGGTACTTATGTGTAAAGTAGAGACTGGATTTGAATTGTTTATTATCACATATTTTCTTGTGTCAATGTCATGACCTTGTTTTTATACGACCGCAAAATTTTTGCAGAAGTATAATGTTATGATGTCACCATCATCATAGTTGTCATCGTCGCCGATTTCCAAAGACATTTGGTTTCCAGTTAATAACTTGAGTATAATTGTATGGATCACTATGAAATTGAAACTCAAGGTTCCATACTACAAAAGGAAGGTTGGGATTGCTTTAGGGTGTTATTTTCCAATTTGTCTAGGAATTAGGGGCCAAAAAGAGGCGTCTGTCCGTCAGTCCGTCCGTCTGATCTTGTTAGCGTTCTCACGTGTACAATTCTTAATTGTCAGATTTTTATAAAACTTATATGATAGGTTTATATCAGCAATGACTTGGAAAAGTTCGAAAATCAGTTCTGCTCATTTATTTTTAAAAGAGTTATGCCCCTTTGAACATTAATGATACAGAAAATTGCATCGTTAGAGCTTTCATTTGTACAATTCTTGCCAGATTTTTATAAAAAATATATCATAGGTTTATATTAGCAATGTCTAGGACGAGATCGAAAATCAGTGGCAATCACTTATTTTTAAGTCTTCCAAACAAAGTTTGGGAAGGCTTATTGGTTTTGCTCAGTTCTTATTATTAAGTCGCCAAAACGGAGTTTTGGGGACTTTATGTTTTTGTCCCGTTTCTTATTATTATTATTATTATTACGGCACCCTCAACAGAGTTGGGGTGACATATTGTTATTCTACGTTTCTTTTTTTTCTTATTATTTTTATTAGCTCACCTGGCCCAAAGGGCCAAGTGAGCTTTTCTCAACACTTGGCGTCCGTCGTCCGTCGTCATCCGTCGTCGTTGTCGTCCGTCGTTGTTAACTTTTACAAAAATCTTCTCCTCTGAAACTACTTGGCCAAATTAAACCAAACTTGGCCACAATCATTATTGGGGTATCTAGTTTAAAAATTGTGTCCGGTGACCCCGCCAACCAACCAAGATGGCCACCATGGCTAAAAATAGAACATAGGGGTAAAATGTAGATTTTGGCTTATATCTCTGAAACCAAAGCATTTATAGCAAAATGACATGGGGTTAAATTGTTTATCAGTTCAAGATCTATCTGCCCTGAAATTTTCAGACCAATCAGGCAACACATTGTTGGGTTGCTGCCCCTGAATTGGTAATTTTAAGAAAATTTTGTCAAAATTGTCAATTGACCCCTTAAGGAGTTATTGCCCTTTATAATCAATTTTTTACAATTTATATAAATTTTGTAAATTTTTGTAAATTTTTACAAAATATTTTCCACTGTAACTACTGGGCCAAGTTCATTATAGATAGAGATAATAGTAAGGAGCAAGAATGTTCAGTAAAATAAGATCTACAAACACATCACCATCACCAAAACACAATTTTGTCATGATTCCATCTGTGTCCTTTGTTTAATATGCACATAGACCAAGGTGAGCGACACAGGCTCTTTAGAGCCTCTAGTTATTCTTCCACACATTTTGTCCACGCTGTTTCTCAGAATTGAGCGATACAATGTTAATGGAACTATACTATAATGAGGACCACCATGTGAAGTTGTGCATCTGACTCTGGAATTTTTTAATATGGCCGCCGTTTCCATGGAAACTGCAAAACAGTGAAAAATTTTCAAAATTCTAAATCTTTCATTATAAGACCTAGCTTATGGTTATGTTCCTTGGTATGCCTATATGTTGTGACAATATTCGGAAATTCCAAAATGGCCGCCATTATCATGGAAACAAGGCGAAAGTTTAACATTGATCCTTTGGGAAAACACATTGAAGCTGCATTTTCTGCAAGAATGTTAGATCAAACCTTCTAGAACTTAATGGATATGTAACATGACATATCCCAAAGTGGCACCTGTTTTTGAAATTTCGGAAATTGTACCCGTAACCATGGAAATAGCCAAAAATTTCAAAAATTTGAAAATGCTCCAAAATTGATAAAACTTTACAACAATGTTAATAGACATCTGTAGATGCGCTCTTTGACTTTGGAATTTTCAAAATGGCTGCCGCTCACCTGGCAAATGGGGAAGGGTGCCATCCGTTATTGCTAGCAATTACAAATCTAGTTAAGTCGCCAAAACTGAATTTTGGGGACTTTATGCTTTTGTCCCGTTTCTTATTATTATTAAGGTCTTTCCTTTTCCAAAAGGGAAAGACCTTACTGTATTTTTTCTGATTATTATTATTATTATTAAGGTCTTTCCTTTTCCAAAAGGGAAAGACCTTACTGTATTTCTTCTGTTTATTAAGGTCTTTCCTTTTTCAAAAGGGAAACCCCTTACTGTATTTCTTCTGTTTATTATTAGGTCTTTCCACTTTTCTGTGGAAAGACCTATTGTATTTGTTCTGATTATTATTATTAGGTCTTTCCACTTTTCTGTGGAAAGACCTATTGTTTTTGTTCTGATTATTATTATTATTTTCCAAGTCAGGAAAATGGCCATTGTTATATTATAAAATTGAGAATGGAAATGGGGAATGTGTCAAAGAGACAACAACCCGACCACAGAACAGACAACAGCAGAAGGCCACCAACAGGTCTTCAATGCAGCGAGAAATTCCCGCACCCGGAGGCGTCCTTCAGCTGGCCCCTAAACAAATATATATACTAGTTCAGTGATAATGAACGCCATACTAAACTCCAAATTGTACACAAGAAACTTTTAGTTTGTTTCTGTGTGTGTTGCATTTTAGTGTTGTGTTTCTGTTGTGTCGTCGTTCTCCTCTTATATTTGATGTGTTTCCCTCAATTTTAGTTTGTAACCTGGATTTGTTTTTTTCTCAATCGATTTATGAATTTCGAATAGCGGTATACTACTGTTGCCTTTATTTATTCAGGTTCAATAAGGTAACATGGATTGTATATATTTTTATGGGTTCTATTAACAACATTACTGTAAAAATTAGGATGTGATATTCCATTTGTAATAAGGCTTCTACAGGAACAGCCAAACCTCCAAACCAAATCATTGTATTATTTGTAAAAGAATTTAATACAGGTTTTAATTGATTTGTGATAGTAAAATCCCTGACTCATCATTCTTTATAATTTATGAGTTATACATGGATTAACGGTAAGTTTATTGAAGTCCAAAACATCACTACAGACTCAGGCATAGCACAGGAAACAGAAATTAATGATATGGAACAACAAATAGTCTTGTGTTGTAAATTTTTGTATCTATATATAAAGCTACTTGTGTGATACTGAAATATCCAAATCCAGATAAGGACAACTATTTCTGTTTATCATGTTTATATTAGATTCATTTCAGTAATTTTGTAGTAAATTTTAGTGCTTTTTTTATAGATTATCGCTGTGTTCTGATGAATAGTTCAAGATCAAATGTATGTGGAGAGATACTAGATGGGTAAGATAGTTTGTATTTTTAACCGGATTTTCTAAGTAAAAATCGGTTATTGATTTGGGGATGTACGGCGGGCAGGCGGGCAGACTTTTGGGCGGGCGGGCATCGGGTGGCTGCAACAGTGTCCGTTTATTTACATGAAAACAAATTAAAATTTTTTTTTTCAAATTTAGATATGTTGTTTCCTGTGACTAAATGAAGGTCAAGTTCAATTTTCACGATTTTATCTTTTCTCGTTGTTCAGTTATAGCCCTTTCGCAAGAATTCAATTTTTATACGCCCGTTTACGGGACGTATTATGGTATACCGTTGTCCGTCTGTCCGTCCGTCCGTCCGTCTGTCCGTCCGTCCGTCCGTCCGTCTGTCGTCAACATGTCGGACATTAACTCAAAAATGCTTTAACCAATTTGCATAAAACTTTGGTGAATTGTTTATATCTATTGACGTGAGCTCCCTTTCGTTTTTTATAAATTTTAGATTTTATGTTTCCGAGTTATGGGGTTTTATTCATTAAAAAAAGGGGGATTTTCCAATTTTCTGACAATAACTCAAGAATGCTTTCACCAACTTGCTAGAAATTGTGGTGAATTATTTATATCTATTGATATGAGCTCCCTTTAGAATTTTATAAATTTTACATTTTACATTTCTGAGTTATGGGGTTTTATTCATTAAAAAAGGGGGGATTTTCCAGTTTTCAGACAATAACTCAAGAATGCTTTCACCAACTTGCAAGAAATTGTGGTGAATTGTTTATATCTATTGACATGGGCTCCCTTTCGATTTTTATAAATTTTAGATTTTACGTTTCCGAGTTACAGGGTTTTATTAAAAAAAAAAGGGGGGTTTTCCAGTTTTCGGACAAATACTCAAAAATGCTTTCAGCAGTTCTTATGAAACTTTGGTAAATTGTTTATATCTATTGATGTAAGCTCCCTTTAGAATTTTATAAATTTTACATTTTACATTTCTGAGTTATGGGGTTTTATTCATTAAAAAAGGGGGATTTTCCAGTTTTTGGACAATAACTCAAAAATGCTGTCAGCAATTCTCATGAAACTTTGGTGAATTGTTTATATTTATTGATGTAAGCTCCTTTTGATTTTCATAATTTTCTAATATGACATTGAGAATTAATTGAACTTTATTTGTTTATAGTCTGACAACAGATTTACTAAGTATTGCGCAACAGCACAGTGTATTGCACAACAGCAAGAAATCTTTAATTGAATATAAATTCAATTCATATAACCAATTTCAAGTTCTTTGACTACATTTATTCAGAAACCTGTAATATGTCAAATATTTAATTACAATCCAAATTCAGACCTGTATCAAGTTTGAATAATGTGTCCATTTTTGCCCCAACTGTTCAGGGTTGGACCTCTGCGGGCGTATCCAGCTGCGCTCAGCAAAGCAGTTTATTGATGAATTAATCTATTTCTGTACAAAGGGAAATAACTCATTTTTTAAAAGATTTTTAAAAGACATTGTATTTATAATAAATGACATTTTGGATTTTTTTTCTTTTCTTTGATAAATTGTTTGAAGAATTTTGTGGTAGGTTTGTTTGTTATTCTGTATAAACTAATTTTCTGAATACTATATATATAATTTTTTTTATGAAGTGAACTCCTTTGATTAGATAATAATCTATTTTTATTAAAGGATATATTTCATTACATTACATTGTGTAGAAAAATTTGTTGACTTTGATAGATAAGCTGCAGATCTGTATTAGTTTGTGACAAATGAAAGAAAAAATATTTGGAACTATTGATTATATTTGATTATAATTTGAAAATAGATATACATTGTGTTACATCATATCTTATTTTAGAGTACTATGTTAAACCATATTTCTGTTCAAAGGGAAATAACTCAAACATATTCCATGAACCAGTAATGATAACATCAACATTTCTTTAAAACTATTCTTTTTAAGTCATGTGTGCTCTGAAGGTAGATGTCACAGTTGTTATGTGGTATTTTATTTTTGTTGTGTGTGTGTTAATGTTTGATTTTTACATGATCCTGTTTGGGGTTCAGATTTGCAAATATCATTTTCATTATTAATTAGATAATAATCTATTTTAAATATTCAATCACAATCCAAATTCAGAGCTGTTTTAAGCTTAAATGTTGTGTCCATACTTGCTCAACTGTTCAGGGTTCGACCTCTGCAGGAAAATCCGGTTTGCTCGACAGCCTCTTGTTTGACCTTGACCTCATTTTCATGGTTCATTGCTCAATGTTAAATTTTTATACGACCGCAAAAAAATTTTTGTGGTCGTATATTGGTATGACGTTGGCGTCGTCGTCGTCCTCGTCGTCGTCGTCGTTGTCGTCGTCCGGCGTCGTCGTCCGAAGACGCATTAGTTTTCGCACTCTAACTTTAGTTTAAGTGAATGGATCTCTATGAAATTTTACCATAAGGTTCAATACAACAAAAGGAAGGTGGGGATTGATTTTGGGGGTTATGGTACCAACAGTTAAGGAATTAGGGGCCAAAAAGGGGCCAAAAATAAGCATTTTCTAGTTTCCAGACAATAACTGTGGAACGGTGTATGGATCTCTCTGAAATTATACTACAAGTTTCCATACGACAAAGGGATGGTTAGGATTTGCTTTGAGGGGTTATGGCTCAAACCGTTTAAGAATTAGGGGCAAAAAAGGGGGAAAAACAAGGTTGTCCTGGTTAATGGACAAATACTTTAGTACAAAACATAATTTAAAGCAGTGTAAGGGAGATAAATCAAATACATCATTGAAATTATCTCCCTTACACTGCTTTTAAATTATGTATAAAGTAATGGTTAATGAACAATTAAGATAATTTAAATCAGTGTAAGGGAGGTAATCCAAATACAACGTTTTGGTTACTTCCCTGACACTGCTTTTAAATTATGTTTAAAGAAATGCATATTTATAAAGGAAGACCAGTAAAAATATCTGCAAATGTTGCATCTTTACAAAAAAATCCATATGAAAGATTTGACACTATATTTAAATTCTATTATAAAATAGATTAAGTTAGCACTATGGTAAATTTAAATGGGTAATTATGGTTTGGGGGAAAAAATGGGGGGGGGGGGGGGGGGTAAAAAGAAATTGTGGGGGGTCAATTTTTTCTCATTTCAGATTTCAGAAATTAAAAAGAATTATTCTTCAAATATTATTTTTTTTTCAAATTTCAAATATTGAAAAATTTCAAGAAGTAATCTTTAATTGCACAGTAGGGCGCATTAGATTTGTAAAATCTTTGACCACATTTATTTATTTGTTATGCCGAATCTAACGATGTATTTAGATTTTCAATTTTGGATCCAGTTTTCAAATTGGTCTACATTAAGGTCCAAAGGGTCCAAAATTAAAATTTGTTTGATTTTAACAAAAATTGAATATATGGGGTTCTTTGATATGCTGAATCTAAACATGTATTTAGATTTTTGATTTTTGGCCCAGTTTTCAAGTTGATCCAAATTGGGGTCCAAAATTAAACTTTGTTTGATTTCAACAAAAATTGAATATATGGGGTTCTTTGATATGCTGAATCTAACCATGTATTTAGATTTTTTATACGACCGCAAAAAATTTTTTGTGGTCGTATATTGGTATAACATTGGCGTCGTCGTCGTCGTCCGGCGTTGTCGTCCGAATACACATTAGTTTTCGCACTCTTACTTTAGTTTAAGTGAATGGATCTCAATGAAATTTTACCATAAGGTTCAATATCACAAAAGGAAGGTGGGGATTGATTTTGGGGGTTATGGTACCAACAGTTAAGGAATTAAGGCCAAAAAGGGGCCAAAAATAAGCATTTTTGTAACTTCCAGACATAACTTGTGTGTAAGTATATGGATCTCTCTGACATTGTACCACAAGGTTCCATATCACAAAGGGAATGCTGGGATTGATTTTGGGGGTAATTGCCTCCAAATTTTAGGAATTAGGGGCCAAAAAGGGGCAAAAAACAAGCATTTTTCTAGTTTCATGACAATAACTTGTGTGTAAGTGTATGGATCTCTCTGACATTGTATCACAAGGTTCCATATTACATAGGGAATACTGGGATTGATTTTTGGGGGTAATTTCCTCCAAATTTTGGGAATTAGGGGCCAAAAAGGGGCAAAAAACAAGCATTTTTCTAGTTTCAGGACAATAACTTGTTTGTAAGTGTATGGATCTTTATGAAATTGTACTGGAAGGTTCCATATCACAAAGGGAAAGCTGGGTTGGAGTTTGGGGGTAATTGCCCTAAGAGTTTAGGAATTAGGGGCCAAAAAGGGACAAAAAAACAAGCATTTTTCTAGTTTCCAGACAATAACTTGTGTTCAAGTGAATGGATCTCTCTAAAATTGTACTGCAAGATACCATACCACAAAGGGAAAGCTGGGATTGAGTGTGGGGGCGATGAATCATAAGGGGGTTCAAAAAATTTGGGGGGGGGGGGATTTTTTTTTCCTTTTTTTTCTTTAAAATTTTCCATTTTAAATTGGTTATTTCTGATTTATATATAAAAGCAAATAATAATGATATGGTTTGAATAGCATACATGTGAACCTCCTGACAGGAGTACAATAATCCTGTTTTCAGGAGTCTCCTCCCGACTTCCGGTTGAAGAGGAAAATTATAATCCCGTGTATGAAATTTTTCATGAATGAAAAATTTCTGCCCAACATATCATCTCAGGCATCTGGTGTAACTCACATTACCTGAAGTTATATTTTACCTGTAAATCAATTAACATGCATAATTATATGGCTTCACTTGTCAGCTTGGGTGTCAAACATACTGGTAATCAATGATTTTTTACCTCAGGCTAACTGCCGTTGTGTAACAAAAACTGTGTATTTATTGGGTTACTTCCCTTGATTTATCCTGTTTTAAGTTACTTTCCTTTTAATAATGAAAATTTTTAATAGAATATAAATAAAATATAAATTGAACAAATAATCATAAAAGGATGGTAAATAAATGATTTTAAATGTCTTAGGACAAAT